AGCCTGCGCCGGCCGGGCGCGCTCAGACACACGTAGGCTGCCAGAGTATGCCGTGGGGCAGCGCCAAAGTATGCAAAGGAAAAATGCGATTAGCTCATCAGCGCTGGAGAGACTAGAAACGGGGTGGCGGGGAGGGGGAAGGGGCCGCTAGCGAGAGAGGAAACATGTTTCTGGAAAATGTGCTGGCCGGCACATCTCCCGGGCTGGAGCAGCTGCTGGGGACCTTCGTCTCAGCGCTGAGTAACAGTCGGATCCCCTTAATGACCTCTTAATTAGGAGAAAACCTCCATCAAATAAACTCTTGACTATTGACTTTTGGGTTTTCTGCGTATGAGTCACACGAGAAATATACTGGCGGTGCTCCTCCCGGAGTAAGTTTTCATTGAAAAGTGAAATTTCACATGGGAGAGGCTTAGCCCCGTCACCAGAACAAATAAACCTGGCTCGGGTAGCGTCTCCCCAAAATTGTGCTGGAGAAGAGGAGCAGGCTGTGCCCCGAAAGCCTCTCCCTCCCTTCCCGCTTTTACAAGAGTTCATCAACGCCGTGTTTTGATAAGTCCAATCACCCAGCGAGGCAAACGAATTAAGGTCAGTGGACTTCAGCCAAAACTCCTTTTGGGTGTATTTTTCCAAGGGCTGCTTGCTTATGAATCCTTGCAAAGGAATGGAGGAGAATATACAGAAGTTCTCCTTCACCAAAAGTTTGGTGGTAAGGATATTTTTTAAGTGATTCCTGTCAAAGACAATCAGCCCAGGCTGGCAATCTTTACCCTACTGACAGATGCAAGGCACCTTCTTGCTGATGCCAGCTTCCCCACATCAGGTTAACGGTCCACATGCTACTGGCCAGCCAGATATTTGCCACTGCATTTTGATGTTTTTGATACAGTTATCCTGTCATTATTTTTTTTTATATATATTGTAGTTTATTTTACTTGCATATTCCTTCAGACAGTTCACACTTAATAATTGAAATCCCATGAAATGCAGTCCTGGGTTGCGGCTGTGATGGATTGTGAATGCTGATTTACACTGCTGTCCAATTAGTAGTAGCAGTAGTCCTTAGCTTTAAAGTAGCTCTTTATAGCCCCTGAAATCAGTGGTGCCATCCTGGGTGTTAAAGTTACCCCTGTGGACAGGTGGGTCGGAGGCCGTGACCAGTGCCTGGGGCTGGCTGCTCACCAAGCCAGGCTTGCTTGCTCTGCTTGTAACCTTGGGAGACCGGTGCTGCATACAAGTGTGCAGCCTAGTGGACTTACTTAAGCACTGTTCACTTCCCTGCGGTCACCCAAATGCCACAGAGGATTACAATCACTGGAAAATCAGCAGCTAACTTTAAAAATTCCCAGTCTGGAGAACACCAAGGAGCACAAGGCACGTATGCACTGAAGAGAGCAAAGTCTTCTTACTTGGGAATACCCCCAGTAGCAAACTGGGTGTTTTTTATCGCTGCTAGCCAGCACCAGGCTGGTGGGGGCATCTGCTGGACTGGGCCCCCACCCAGTACCAGCAACTGGTGTCTTTCCACAAGTGGGTTGTGCCTGACGCTCCAGTTGGTCCTAGTTCCGGCAGTGTGCTACAGAGGTGGTTGTATTTGGGTTCTCTTATTCACCATATTTGCAGACTGCTCATCCCCTCTGATCTTCCTCATTGTGGGTTTGAAAATGCCATTCTCCATTTAAGGGTTTGCCTGGAACAATCAGTGACTAAGACTGAGTAAAATGGAAAGGTTGAAGATAGGGAAAATACAACACTGAAGGAATGAGGTTTCTGTCTTTCTAATCTTCCTCTAAATCTTACTAGTGTTACAAACAGCAGGTTGTTGCCCAATGTGTGATATTAGACAATGTTTCCACACAGTGGGATTCTAGCCAGTTTTGGGGGTTTGTTTTTTTTTTGTTGTTGGTGGTTTTTTTTCCTGTTTAAGTAAGTATTTTTCATGAAACTGGAGAAGACGTAGTTGAGGCTAGTCTTGCCCTTTTATCAGCCATTCATGTGGTTTGCCATTTTTTCCATAGCATGATTTTTATTTGTTAATTAATTTAGGTTTCATAAACCATGAAAAGCACTATCAGCATCACTAGAGAGTCACGTCCTTCACTTATCACTAGGTGCCTATGGCCATTCAGCTACTGTCCTCTCCTCACAGGTTGCCTAATTATACCTAGTTTTCATACCTTGGGTCTGTCTAGACCATCAAAAAGCCCACCTGTATGAGTGACCAGAGGTATGGAGGTGAAAATCTCTGCAGTACCTTACAAATCTTGTAAGCAAGCCAGGTACTGTGATTGCTTTAAAAATGTCCTAAAAACTGTTGAGTACTCTGGTATTAAGCTTTCTCATAAGGTTAATACAGCTTCTTTGGAAAGTCCAGTTCTGATACTGGATCACAGTTAATTTAGTTACTTAAGCATTTGCCTACCTCTTTCTTTTTTTGGCTGGAATAACTGGTATGGCTGGGTACTTGCTGCACTGGGAATTTTGATTTCTGCCACCTACAGAAATAAATACAGTCTATATCAACTAATAAATTAAATTTTTCCTTACCAGCAAATGACACTAATTGAAACAGATATCACTAAGTCATCGCAGTAATTTCTCAAAACCTGATATCAGGATATATGTTATATTTAAATTTAATTGGTAGATTGTTGCAGTCCTCATTCAAAGGTTACAAACAGAAAAGTGTCTTCAATGGCATGTGTAGCATTTGGAGTCCTTCTTATGTGTACACCACTACTGAACAGCAGTTACGAATCTCAAAAATGGAAAAAGATTGACCTGTTCTTCAAAAAAACAACAACAAAAAAAACCCCAAACAGAACCAAAGCTATCTGAATGTAGCATGTCTTAGTA